ATCTAATTGATGGACTGGAGTGGTGTGGATTACTTGTGGATTATTGTGATGTTTTTATCAGCTGTTTGGAATCTCATTCTGACGGCACCCATTCACTGCAGAGCATCCATTGACTCGATCATGAGAAAGTGATGTAATGCATACATTTCTCCACATCTGGTTAAGAAACAAACTCATCTATATCTTGGATGACTTAAGGGGGGACACACATTTTCAGCAAATTTTCATTTTTGAGTGAACTATCCCTTTAATATCCCTTAAAAATTCATTTAATAACTTATATTTATTTATTACTTTATACAAAACGGTGGATATTTTTCTTTTACTGCCATGTTTCAAATGATATTTTGTAATGCAGTTTGGTATTGCATCCAGGAAATTTTCATGGCATCCTCTCTCTCTCTCTCTCTGTCCTCTCCATCACCGTTTTCTCCTTTGACTCATCAGTATGTCCCCACATTTCCACTTCAGTCAGTGGGTCATATGAACCGACCTCCTCCCTTCTGCTCAGGACTCCCTCCTATACCACCTCTCACTGTCGCTCTCTCTCTCTCTCTTTCTCTGGGTAAATACTGTTTGATCCCTCTCTCTCTCTCTCTCTCTCTCCATCAATAGGCCTCATTCATTCCCTCTCTCCTGCTGCATGCCATTGGACCCCCCTTACCTTCCCAATTCATTCCAGTGATTTTTTTTTCCCTCCGTGAAGTTTTCCGTGACTTCTTAAATAGCTCAGTACCTCTTCTCTCTCTTCTCACATCATCTCTTTCCATAGTCATTTTCAGTATTTCTCTTCTCTGTCTTCCTCCCACACTTGTTTCATCTGTTTTGAATAAATGTAAGTAGTTCTGTGACATTGGTCATTAAGCTATGATAAATACTTCTATATATATATATATATATATATATATATACACACACACACACAATTAGAAATGTATGCATTTCTTCAGAGAAATAAAAATAAAGGGAAAAATGCTATGAATTTTGACAGAGTAAGACTTTAATGCAATTAATTGAACCTTGGGAAAATGTGATGAGAAACATATGAGTTCATAATGAGATCTCTGACTTTTGGTTGCAGACTAATTTGGCACATATGAGTACAGATTAAGATCTCTTCTCAAACTCCACACGAGACGTGGGTCTTTTTCTCAAGAAGAAACCCTGAGGTGAGCAAAGTTAGGTAAACTCTCATTTTGAACTCCATTTAATCTCATTGCTTTCTTGGTGAAACTGTACACTGTAAAAAATGACCGTGAATTTAACGGTAAAAGACTGTATATATCAGTTAATGAAATTACGGTATTTAACTGTAAATTTAAGTTAAAACCGTAAAACCTAAAACGTTGCTACCGTATTTTTTACGGTAAAATTCCGGCAACCACAGCTACCGTGTTTTTTACCGTAAATTTTATGGAATTTTTTTTACAGTGTAGCATATCTGTTCTGAAATGCTCTCAATGTATGTTCCATTCCCTGCACGCTTCTATAAGTATCCGTTAAATAGTCACCATTACTGAGGCGACTGAAGAAGCTGAAGTAAATTTGCTTAATGATGCATACTTGTGCTAAATGATCTGAAGCGCATTCAGCGGCCACATTTAGAAAATGTGAAAAAATGAGTCAAACCGAGAGCTTATGTCAGTGTTCACACGCTCACACCTGCTATAATGATTTGCGCAGCAAACAAACAAACATTTATTCGTTGCTGTAAACTCTTACTAGCGTAACTGACGGTTTAATATGGCTCTTATATACAAGCTGGCATTAAGCTTGCTTCTCATCTGGGCGTATATGAGTCCGGCATCCAAAATCAATGAGCCATTCTCTTTGACTCTTTTATTTTGCACTCTTACATCTGGGTCTCTACTTACTGGGAGCTCTGTGTAGCATAATACAGAGATACATACATAGGCTTTTTTTTCAGTGCTCCCACTGTAACCCTGTACCAACCCAGTCCATTTCCTCACAAACACGCACACACAAATATACACATGCCAATCTATTTCCTACCCCCCCCCCTCTCCGATCTATTTTGGTGTGTTGTAGTGGGCTAGGGTGTGTGTGCGTGGTTTGCAGCCCTGCCCAGTAAAATACAGACTTTTTTAAGGAAGTCTGCAATATAATCTGGATGCTTTATTGTAATTACAAGGTCCCCATTTTGGAAATAACCAGGCTATCCGCAAGCACTTGCCGTGTCTGACTCCAAGGAAAACTTGAGTTAGCTTTTGTGTGCCTCCCGTTGAACTGCTTTATGCCCAGCACGTAGCCCTATCGGAAGATAATTAATTTTCTCACACGCACAGCGAATCTCAGATGTTGTCATAAAATCTGTTAGCATGGGTGGCCAACCAAAACCTACACAACCGCATGGCTAGCGGCCTATCATCAAAGCCTGAAATTACTGTGGACAAATTAGTAGGCTGTATTAATCCGAATAGCTGTATTCACTCAAGGTGGGAAACATCTGTCTTGAGGATTTCTCTGTCAGAGTCTGAGTGGCTTTTTACCTTTTTGCTTTCTAAGTTTTATCGGTTGCATGGTTTGTACAAATGCCAAGACATTATGTCAGTCGTCTATTTATGTGGATGTTCTCAAGGTACTTTGCAGTGTTTGAGTTGAAGTTGTGCTTCAGTGTTTCTCTGGATGTAAACTGGTCTCAGGCCATTTCAACCCAGCTGTATTTTTATACTTTCTCAAGGTCTGTGCTCACCTGTATGCCATCCTCTGCTTGGTTTTATACATTCTTAATGTCTGTGTTCACATGCGGTTTCAGACAGACCAAGCTGTAGGCGTTTTAATGCATTTAATTGTTTAATGTCAGTTTAGAGATTTTCCCTTTTTTCCCAAATGCTGTTCATGATTAAACTGTAATTATGAACAACACTGCTATTTTTATACTACTCGGCATAGCAGTTAGGTTTAGCATCAGTGCTAATTTGAAGAGAGAAAAAAACAATTCAGAAGACTTCAATCTGCATTCCCACACATCCAGAAGTGCTCTGATTTGCTATTCAAAACTTGCCACAAGGCTGCGTGCTTATCTTCTTATTCATTTAATTTTTAAATTATTAATTCAATGTGTATTTATTTTAGATGTGTATTTTATATTTATGTTTTTTATTTAATATTAATTTATTTATTTAGTTGTTGTACTTTGGACAGATGTGAGCAATAGCAATTTAAATAATCCATACATTTTATCTTCAGCAGAAATATAGTACAGTACACCTGATTCCCACTTTCCACCCACATCCCTCATTTTCCATGATCTTTTCTCGCATTTTTAAAAATACCTTTATTCTTTCTCACATTCTCCTCTGGCCTCTCTGTGTCAATGGGAACACCACAGATTTAAAGCGTATGATTATACTGTTTTATTATAGAAATGCTATGTGCACCAGCCAGAGGTCTTATAAAAACACATGCCATTATTGTTTATGGATTGTCTCCTTTAGACCATAATGGGCCACAGGACATAAGAAGCACTGATTTTATTCATTTTTTTCCTGCAAATTAGAATTTCCCTACAGGGAAAAGCTCTCGTCAGCTCCTAATAGAGTTGGTAGGAGTTTTAATAGAGCAGCTCATGTTGATTGGTGGCTGCTGACAGTATAGCATTTTATTACTATTCTCTTTCATAAATGTTTGTTTTATGCATTTGAGGAACTTTATTTATTTCTTTATTTTTAAATTTGAGTAAGCCGAGACTCATTGTATAGGGTTGGTTCTTCAAAAGCACAGGTGCTTATAAAGATCTGTGGACAGAGAATAGGCGTAACCTAAATAAATGACTGGACTTCTTTTTTTATCCCTTACTTTAAAGAACTGCAGTTTGCTGCATCTATAGGAGGCAACTAAAGAAAAAAAAAGAAGGAAAGGAAAAACATCAAAATGATTTGGTTTCTTCGGTGTATCAGAGATCAAATGGGCTTGTGTGTAGGGCTATGACTTTTATATATAAACTAGGCTATTTAAAGCAAATATTATGCTTCACCAATAAATTCTGGAAAATTTGGCCACTTTTGAGAATGTGAAAAAAAAAAAATATTTGAATAAAACAAATTCTCTGTAGGCGCCATAGTAAGATTACTAGTCAGAGTTCGCTAAATAAATCACGGTTTGGCTTTACGCGAGGCGGTTACTATAGCAACAAGCCGCTCCGCCGTTATATCAACATGGGACGGTATGTCAACAAAGTAACCTATAGCGTTTTATCACGTTATTATATATTTACATATGATTCACACATCACAAAAACGCTTTTGAGTTTTGTTTCAGTGTCTTTAGGATAGTTGAATATTAGCTAAACGTGCTAAAGGCGCCAAAAGACGTTGCGCGAGACAAGCCTCAGCCACGAACAACTGACAGAAAAAGTAGACGGCCTGAAAGCCATTAAAATTAACATACAATAAACAGTTCTTAAATAATGGTGTATTACTAACCGAAATTAAGTTTTGCTGACAGGGCTAAACGTTCATTTTGTTCCATACCTGCTGGCGTGGTCATTTAATTTGAGTAACCGAGTTGGACCGAGCCATGAAAAGGGAGGGAAGAGGGCATGTGACGTCACGAGCGGATAAGGATCTGATTGGCGGATGAAATCCTTCATGCCTACGGACCCATCGGTCCTGCAAGGTTCAGCTGTGAAACAGAAATAAATAGAGAGGAATAAACTGACTGATCTACATGCCAATCACTGGCACGTAAACATCAAAAGCTCATTTGATGAATACAGATATTTTGGGCCATATAGATCCTTTCATAAATTCTTGAAATTAACGTCTGTCGATACGTTAAGAACGTGTAGAAAGCCGCAGAAGTCCGTATGCATGCATTTCCCTCCCTCTTTTTTGCTCTCTACCACACACACACACACACACACACACACACACACACGCTCCCTCGCATTTCGTGGGAGAAAGTAAGAAGAGGGAGAGAGAGAGAAAGAGAGAGATTGAGAGAGAGTGATTTGAAGCCTCTCTCTGCTCTCTCCGCTTTTCTGTTCACTCAGACTCAATGGGGCTCTAGCATTAGGGGTTTCAAGCTGTAAAACTACATATTTATTACCCGTTCCCTTCTTTCTATTTACGTTTTGTACATAAAAAAGATAACTTATTGAAGAAGAAAGTTGGTGTGCGTTTCAAGACGTCTCTTTAGACGCACCAAGTTTGTTAGAGGCCAAGTCGAAGTTGATGTCGAAAGAACGAAAAGGCTAATTTGAAACTGTCCTGCCTTGTAGTCCAACCAAATCGGTCAGAAAACTTGGGAACTATGGATATTCGGAAGAAGCGGAGGCCGTGGTGCATTGAGACCTCGTTCTTGCTCCTCCTGTGCCTTACTCTGGCACAAGCAGGTGAGCATTTTGCCTTTTCTGTTTGTGTGATTTGACAGAAGAAACTGTAACGTGATTTATGTATTGAGGCATTTTGCCTCAATGCAGCAGTGGGTTTTGATGCGCTTTACGCACGCCAGGTATCCACGAGATTGCGCAGGTGATTGTGTTTTAGTGTTTCCAAGAAGATGCTTGAATCTTCTTGCTAGCGTATCTTCAGCTAAAGTGATTTAAGTGCATTGATTATGATACGTCATGTTGGATCTAGCTGTCACTTGGTGAGCTCACATTAGCAGACTAAAATTTGGTTCGAGTCCCTTAAGTTGACACCACTTTTTCAACTTGCACGAATTTTTCAAGAATTGAAATATGCACAAAACAAATACATGCCGATGAGTTGAGCTCCAGGCCGCGTTGGCACACATTATGTGGCATCCCAGACGGTGGCATAGGATAGGACGGTGCTTTCACTGACAGGGTTTCACACCCCGAGCTTCATTTCAGCGCACAGCATCGTGAGATTATAGTTGTTGTTATTGCAAACAACGAACATTAATCGTATCGTAAATTCAAAATATATAGTTTATTTTTTATTTAGGCTACATTTTAATTTTTCATTTATTGTTTTTTATTATTACTTTTATTAATTACATGGCTCTCTGGAATGCTTGATTCTGATTGGTCGGTCTCGGCATTTAGCGATCAAATATTTTTTAATAATAACCGTTGCCCCTAGCAACACTAATTTACTGACTGCTGGTATATTCTGTCTCGTCGCTTTTCTTAAAAAATAATTTCTAAAAACAATATCTAATGCTGTTTTTATTTGTCAACCTATACCCAAAATAACTCACTTCAGAGTGTCCCAAAACTAGTTTGTTTTTGGCTGACTGGACATTATTACTATTATTTTTATTATTTTTTACATTATTCACCTGCTCTGTACTGTTATTTTTATTAATATGAGTGCTTTTCGTCTTCGTAAACGTTATTGACTTTTTTTCCAATGCGCTTTTAGTTGCAGTAGGTTTTTGCATATTTAATATAAGAAGCACCATATATAATTAGCTGTTTATTTCATTTACCCCACCCGACTAGACATATTAATTTCTGCACATTCATTTTTTTATATTGTAAAATTATACGTAAATCGTCAGATGCACTTCTAGCGTTCACCACTAGTCGGTGAGTGGCGCTCGATCCAGATTCTGCTGCATCTCCATAGACATTTCATTTACAGTAGAAGCACAAAATCAGATACAGTACATTTTCACACCAGATTTAATTGATATTTAAAGCTTCTAGTTGAATGAAAAAGTGAAAAACAAAACGATCTTTTAGATGATGGCGCGCACCTAATGGCCCTCAGGCATGGATGTAATTCCAGATTTCTGATTTGATCGCTCATTTTTCTCTCCTTTCCCTCCCTTGTGTGTTTGGAGGAAGTCTGAATATTTGTGCCTCGCATGAGTAGGTTACTATTCTGCCCTGTGGTTCACAGAGATGCAGTGAATGAGTTAGTGTCTCCGTGTGTGAGCTCAGTGATATTTGTGTAAACGCACACGTCTATTACACCTGGAGAATTTTCCACAGTATGCCAGTTTTGGGCCAGTGAATGTTGCACTGTGAATATTCCACAGCAGCCTGCTGTTACTGGTTCAAAAACATCTATGATTTTTAATACCCGAAACCAGATTATGTTGTTCAAAACTGAACTCCAAAAAGTTATGCAAACCAAGCCACTATTTAGGATTCCATTTATATCTGCTAGTTACCTTTAAGCGGTCATCGTTGTTCCATATTGTTAACTTTGGGACAGCAGACAGACTTTTGAGAGCACAGTGTTTTTTAGGTGGGGAATATTTATTTAACATGGATGTTCCTTCAACCTCATTTCAAAGGCAGCAGTCTCAAAGAACAGACTGTCTCCCTTCTGTTAACCAAAACACCCTCAACCCAATGCAGCGAATGAGGACTGAATGGAGCCACTGTGTGTGAAGGAAATGCCCGGAATATTTGTGTGTATGTTCGTAGCACGTGAGAAAAGACTGTCCTCATGGGTGTGTCCATCATTCTTGACAGTTTCATGAATGTCATTGTGTGTTACTTACATTGCTAATCTTCCCCAGCACTCTTGTCCTGAAGTTCATTGGAAATATGAGGGCTGAAGAGTTTAATGGGTGCTCCTCAGATCCCTTATTAGATGTGTTGAATTTATGCATGCATGGAAAGAGCATAGCATCACTATTATAATTGTGCATACTTGTAACTGTCATTAGTACATGGATGATACCTCAAGTTAATTGTTGTAGTGAGCTGTGCTATAGTTTTCTAAGTGATCAGCCTTATGCTTTTTGCTCTGAGCAACCATTTCTTTATTATTCTTCTCCCATAACTAACAAACAAAACTAACCCTAGTGATTCAACTCCAGCTGTAGGAACCTTTTAACACTCTGACCGCAACAGGCTTCCGGAAGCCTCACACTTCCACAAATGGCTCTGTTGACAACAATACAGTTCCTCTGGTTGAAGAAGCACAGCTTTGCGGTATGTCTTAGAGAGATAGTTAGTCATCATGTTTTCAAGGGTTGCTTTTGAACCTAAAAAACCCAGAAAGTTGGCTTAAGGCCCGTTCACACCAAGAAGATAACGATATTAGCGTCCACACCAGCGTACGATATCGTCTGTTTATTCTAAGTGCACTCGCGAATTCTCGAGCTCGTATCAGGATGGATTCTGATTGGCTGTCAATGTTTTTATTGTTCATCAGCTGGAAAAAAAAATCGTTCCGAAAGTGATTCCAACGATATCGTTTCTCTGTGCCTTTATCGTTATAGTTGTGGTGTGGACTCTGCTATTCTTTAACGATTTTTAGAAATATATCTTGTTATCTTTATCGTCCTTAATGTGAACGGGCCTTTACACTGTTAAGAATAAAGGTTCCAGAAGGAAGTTTGCACACCAGTGCCATAGAAGATCCATTTTAGTTCCCCAAAGAACCTTTCAGTGAAAAATTCCATTTTTTTTTCTTAAAGAACATTTTAATAATCTAAAGAACCTTTTCCACTTTAAAGAACCTTTTGTGGAATGGAACATTGATGTTAATGTCTCTTCATAGAACCACTGATGCTAATATAGAACCCTTATTTTTAAGAGTGTAATGTTTGAGCCATTAATACCTTAAATAGATCACTGTATCACTCTTCCAGACATGTTTCAACTTTCATTGCATTATGCGGCTGATTATTCTGGAAAATAAATCTTAAAAATGGATACATGCAATGAAAATGTCTTTACCAGGATTGCTGCAGCAGGTTTGATATCTCACAAAATTTCTGTATTTCAAGGATAGTTTAAAATAGTTTTTTTGGGAATGCAGACATCTCACCACAAGAGGGCCCAACACATGCTCACGCTTTTCAGTTCAATAGCACCACATCTGAAGGATTCACTGAGCACATAATAAGCACCCTCTTCCTTTAGTCTGGCTTATTTTTTTATTAACATGTCTCAGGGGATTGAAACTTTTGTGCATGCCTTATGATTGTACGGTTGCATTTTTACAGTTGTAAGCTGATGAAAGTTGTCTGTTTTCACACTTCTGTGCTTAAGATCACAACTGATTATGAAGCTGACCAAGCTATTTGTCAGTAACCAAATTTAAGACTGATTCAGAATGTTTTGCTAACCATATTATCTTGGATTGCTATTAATAGGCATTTAGTTTGAGTAATACTTAGTAAAGTATATACATTTTTCTGTGAGTAGTGTATACTTTGGTTTACAGTGACGGGTGTATACAGTAGCTGTGGGGAGTCTGTATAAACGCTCAATCTTTTTTAGTTTACATGATGTTTAATATAGCGGCCGTGTGGTTAGTCTATCCATCCTGGCAGTGGCAAGCAGAGGCGCACTGTACACCACACACTGACTCATACTGAGCCACCTAGATCCAGAACACGCTGGCACAGAATATATATATTTGTACATATAGTATTAGTATAGTATTATAATGTATAATAATAAATTTGCAACCTTTGTTTAAGGCAATACATGTTCTAAAGCAATGACTTTCAAGAGGTCCTTCATCTCTTTGGCATGAGAATAATATTAAGCAAATGACAGCAAATAATCATTTGAAAATATGGCTAAGTTGAATTGAATAGCTTTCTGCACTTGAACTGAATGGACACATTATTTAGACAGCGCAAATGAACTGGCCTATTGTCTGGAGGTAGATTACTGTTTGTTTGTTCACTAATCGTCTTAAAAATCCCATGTTTGTGTCATAAAAGTTCTACATTTGTCGAGAAGAACCTTTATTCACTTCCTGGAAAGCATCAATAGTCAGGCTAATGTGCTTGTCTCAGCTTTTGGCTTTTTTATTTTTTAAACCTTTCATCAAGATAAAAAAATAAATAATCATCAACCACACTAACACCCTTGGCAATCTGTGAACATTAAATACTCGTTTGATATATATGTCTCTGTAACCCCATATTATGCCAGGAGTTGGTATGATGGCATAGCTGTCTGCGTATTATAAATAAATCATAAATATAGAGAGCCATGATTTAAATTATAACCTCTAGACAGGCCTGTACATGCACGCCTAACTATACTGCGGTCGGCGGGAAGAGAGAATGAGACAGGGGAGACAGATCCAGACAGCGTGATGGATTTATCTTCATGTCTTTTGCATCTTTTGAAGTTGTATCTGTTTGTTGTCACATTTGTTTGATACATTTGCAGGTGTTTCCTCTTCATTTGTTCAGAAATGTTGAACCTCTTCTCCATCTACTTCTTCATCCTCAAATCTGTCCGTCTTGCTCCAAACAAGGGCATCTTTGTGAGAAGTAAAGGTGAGAGTTGAAAAGGTCAAGGTGTCAGGTGGTATGTCCCGCTGGTATTTAGCACAGTTATTTGAAGCTCACAAGAAGACACTAGAACACCCAAAGCTCAAAGAAAGAGAAGATGGAGTAACCAATCTCCTGGAATGTTCTGTGACAGAGTTCTGGTGATGGAAGTTTGTTTAGAAATGTTGGGGTCACCTTGACTGCTAATGACTTACTGTTGGGAATGTTGGTTCTTGGTCTTGTTCTTTGAGAGCCATTGTGTGTTCCTGTGTTTGCAGATTGTGTGAGCACACAGTGTTTGTTTGTGTGAATGCATTGTGAGAGCATCCAGTGACTCTAAGTTTCAGACATTCAAGGACATGTTTGCCATTTACAAAACATTTACTAAGCTCTGTTGAATGTTGGCGTTTGGTAGATGAAGTAGAAGCAGTAATGTCTTCGGTAATAAATACATGGCTCAGCAGAAGTGATGGACCAATTTAGGTTGATTTATCAGCTAAAATTTAGCTATTTTGAGATGATTTGTCTGATAATTTCAGCTAGTGTCCGCTGACAGCTTTATTGATAGAAAATGCTTTTTTTATTTGGAGTAATTTTTAGATAAATGCTCATTCTGTTAAATTTAATATAATACATTTTTATTTTAAATCAATATTTCAAAATTATATGATCAAAATTGTTTTTTGATCCAATTAAATGATATATAGTGTTTTCATTCTCAATTTTGCTCTATTTGAGAAATGCTTTTTGGGCCTCTCCCTCCTTGTTTTATCCAATTTAGCTGAGAAGGCCCAGCGGACATATATGTGACCCTGGACCACAAAACCAGTCTTAAGTCGCTGGGGTATATTTGTAGCAATAGCCAAAAATCATTAGGATATTAAGTAAAGATCATGTTCCATGAAGATATTTTGTAAAT